TTGGTTTGTATTAATAAAGGTAAATTGATGTACTGTATATGGTAAAATGTTTAAATGCATATTTGCTATGGTTAACTTGGAGTGTAAGTATATGTAAGTATTATCTGGTATGTATAAATGTTGTTGTGTATTTTATGCAGGTTGTTTTTTGGTGAAAGGCACTTTTAGCTTTCCCCCTACAAAACAACTTTTAAAGAGGGGAGGTGTTACATAACAGCACTGATGTTACCTGTCTGTCATGGGTTTGGAGGGAAAGTTCCATCCTATGGGGAGTGGAAGGCGGGACATCAGGAGGAGGGGCTGTACTGTATAAATATGTGATGCCTGTGTGGTGAAGAGGAGATGCTGAGACAGACTGTGAGACACTGGGTTGGGACGAAGCAGCAGCTGGGGAAGAAGAAGCTGTTGTGGGAGTCTGTGTGTCTGACAGGGTACTACTGTGTGTCAGAGTACCAGCCTGAAAGGTTCAGGGGTCTGTTGGTTAGCCAGAACTGATGGGTTCAGGGTCTGTGCTTTAAGTTAAAGGTTCTAGGTGAACCAAACTGTATGCTTGTGTGTGTGAAAATAAGCCACGTTACTTTATTTTATTCACCTGATTGCTTATTTTTCCCTGTGTGTATTTAAAATAAACTTTATTCTTTTTGTTGTTTAAAAATCCATCCCTGGTCTGTGTGACTTATTATAGGGAATGGTTGGTGGCAGCTTAGTAACTGTGTGATAGATCCCAGTAGGTCTGGGTTTGTCACAGTTACTAGAATGTGAATAACTGTGGTTAAATTATATCAGGCAAGACAAAACATACACACACAGAGAGAGAAGCCCACATACACAACAGTTATTCATACTCAGAGAATGTGAATAACTGTGGCTAAATTATATCAGGCAAGACAAAACATACACACACAGAGAGAGAAGCCCACATACACAACAGTTATTCATACTCAGCAGTTACTTACACTCTAATAACTACTAATTTAAATTACTGCAGTGTGTCATAAAATTAAAAAATAAAGATAATGTTATCTCTGTCCATCATCTGAAGTTGATAGGCACTGCAAATTACCCTGTCTAAATGTGCTTCTAGTGTTTAGTGCTGGATCCAGGATTATCTCCAAATTATAAACCTGGTCCTTGTGGGCGGCTTTCCCAAAGCAGGCAACTTCAAATGTTTGAACATATAGTTTTCAGCAGGCCTAGCCAACATGGCTAGTAGTCATTAATTGAGTTGTGGTTCACTATATCTGGAAGGTACCAAGTTGAGGAAGATGACTGCAGGAGGTGGTATCTTCTGCAGAAGAGATAAAATACTATTCAGCTAGACACAGTGCCAATTTGCATCCATCTTGTCTGAGAAGGTTCTCAGTTTATTAGCCTTCATTCAGTTTTCTAATCAGTCCTAGTCCTGATTCAAAACACTTCCTGTTTCACTTGTATTTGTTAAAAAAAGAGAAGAAGTAAGTGTCATCCTCATAGGGGTGACATATCTATCCATATTTCTGGGAAACTTATCCCAGCAGTTTTTCGTAGATGTCAAATAAAGTAAAATAAAATAGTCAACTGTGGAACTTCATAGCATAAATGCCAAAGATAAAGCAATAGTCCACTATCACCTCCACTTTCTGAAACTGGATATCCAAGGAGAATCAGAACCAATGAACACAGTATTTTCAGCATGAATACAGAGTTCTCTTTTTTTAAATATGTGTGATAACAATAAGCTTGAAAGAGCATTTTCTACCTATATTTCAGTTAACCGTAATATGCTAATAATGACCTTTTTATATTTCCTGCCTTGCTTGAGATTCTTCTACTAACTTCCCTCTGTGGCTGAGTTTCACTGCTATCTATTGATTTGAAGATCATACCAATAGTTAATTTCTGCACTTGGGCTGTGCTATCCCAAACATAAATTTGGAGTAATAGAACACTGTAAGTAATGGTCCTGAATTGACTGCGTACAGTGGTGCCTCGCTTAACTATTACCTCGTTAAACGATGAATCCGCTTGACGATGAGGTTTTTGCGATCGCAAAACAATGTTTTAATGGGAAAATTTGCTTAACAATGATCGTTTCCCTGCTTCGGGAACCAATTTTTCGCTTAACGATGGTTTTAAAACAGCTGATTGGCAGCTCTCAAAATGGCCGCCCTCTGTGCAAAATGGCTCCCCACTGTTTTTAGGATGGATTTTTCGCTGTACAGGCACGGGAAAATGGCCGCCCTATGGAGGATCTTTGCTGGGCAATTAGGTATTTAGCCCATTGGAACGCATTGAACCGGTTTTCAATGCGTTTCAATTGTTTTTTTCCCCACTTGACGACGATTTTGCTCTACAGCGATTTCGCTGGAACAGATTAATGTCGTCAAGCAAGGCACCACTGTATTAAGACGTTTCTAGTTGAAGACATCGGATGGTGACTCACCACCACCACTGCACTAGGGAAAAACCTACTCTTTGCGGGCTCTTGCCAACAGGACCATAATTTCTCTTCCTTGCTAGGTACTCCTACAGCAACTATATTCAAACATAAAATTCCACACAGGGGATAGATAGGTGAGGAGGAAATCACAGCTGGGGAGGAAAGGTTTCACGCAGCCATTATCATGCACCCTCCCTGTCCAGTTGCACTCCTGTAGTGCTGTTAGCTTTGCAAAAAGCTTTTTATTGGTGCTAATGAAAGGTATCATTCAAGTCTCATTACAACAGTGGGAGAAATGTCTGTGACAGAGAGGGAGGGAGGGTTTTGGCCTTGTAACTTTGAAGAGAATGCCCACCTTTGATATGGAGATTCATAAAGGGAATGTAGTTCTTTTAGTTAACATATTTGCCCATTCTTGTTTTAGAAATGCTGTACAGTTTGCTTACTCAGGACTACTTTACACACGTCATATCAGAATACATGAGGAGAGTGACACATCGTATTCAAACACATAAAGACATCATATGCAAACACATGGTAGGCACATTTTAGGAATCTAGTCAATTGCCAGTTTCCAGCACCTATCCTTTGTTTCGGTTGATGTTGTCTCTGTATATTAAATGTGTAGCACAACATCCATAGCACAACCCCTGGAAAAACATATCATTTTTAAAAGTTGAAAGCTTTTTAACTTGTTTCTCAAACTCTTAATGAGTTAGAGTGCTATAGAAGGTAGAATGGGTTTGAAAATATGCTTGGCAGAGTGTATATTCCTGCAAACTGGTACTTTTCCTCTTAATTTTAAACAGCTCCCATTGACTACAGTGGAATTTGCTTTCATAACAGCAGATGCATTCAAAGACTTGAAAAGTTTAGACTTCATGAGCTTGAGTGAAATAGATGTGTATGTGGAAAACATATAATCCCATATTTTTCCACATGCCTAGAATAGTTAATTTTTCAGTATGCTTGGATAGTTTCCCCAGTGCTTTTAGTTTCCAGCCTTACAAATAGTGGACACCAGCAATTACACTAATATGTAGGCCTGAATGCTTATATTTGGTTTTTAAATAGGCAGTGTAAGAATGCAGCAGAAAAGTGGACCAGTTGTTCTAGCAGAGGAGGTGAAGAATCCAGCAATGGAGAAACTTGAGCTTGTAAGAAGATGGAGTTTGAACACTTACAAGGTTTGTACAGATTTTGCCATCAAAGTTTAATACTTCTTGTCCTACACATATAAAAGGATTTATCATTTTACCAGCACTTGAAGACTGAGAGAGACTGGTGTGCATTTTAAAAATTTAATCTCCTGCTACATTGGCTTCTTGGGAGGAAGAAAGATTTCTGGAACAGCTACATGGGAAAAGGAACATAAGTAGTTTCTAGAATTTATATTTTTAGGATTGTTTTGATCACTTTGTGAACTTGACTCTAAAAATGGGATATTGAGTAATACCTAAGGAACATACACTATTTTTTTCAGGCAGTCATATATGTGCAGTTAAACAAATTAGATAAAAATAATAAATTGTGACACTTTAAGAAGTCATTTGGCATAAGATTTCATGGAGTGCAAACTACTTCTTTAGTTGCTTTTTGACTGTAGTTCGTGAAAGCGAAAGTCAAATAAAACCTGTTAGATTGCCACAGTTATCTTTGTTGGCTTTGGTGCAGCTGACTACAGTCTACCACCAATTACCACAGACATTTCAATAAAAATAGTAATGGAGTTACTCAAAATGATAATCTGAGATAACCAGGTTTTGCAAGAATTGTGTAACTGCTAACACAGTACTAAGTTTTTCTTTGTGTTCTCTGTGACTCACACATATGGGTATTGCACCTGTTTAAACCCAGATCTGAAACATGATAGATCTGACCAGCTTTTGGTAGGATCACTACCCTCACACCTTCATCCTGCATGCTCAGTGATACCCCAACAAAACTCCCTTAGTCCCTTTTCATCAACCGGAATGTACTGTTTGCCGGAATGTTCTGGGTGCTTTGCAAAGCTTTTCCAACCTCTTATTTTTCATATATTTTTGTCTTATTACTCTTAATTCTGTTTTCCACTATTCATTTCTCATTTCTTTCTTTAAATCTTAATGGTCTGTCTCCACAGCCTTTTCTTCTGTGTGAGCAGGATTGCGTCTTTGGACTGGCACATGAAATATCCTTTGTCTTGATGAGAGTAATCTTTCTCAGCAATACTATTATTTGCCAAGGCTTTACTAAGCTGATACTGAAAAATCATAAATTCTTTATTTGGAGGAAAAGTCTCAACTTGTCTTTCTGTCTCTACCTGCAAGATTCTAGAACTGCCCAAGGATCTCCCATCAGCTGTAATATTTGATCCTACCTTTGGGGCTTTATATTCAATGAATAAAAACAGCATAAAATATGAAGAGAGAAAAAGCCAGGAAATAGGACAAAGGGTGTTACATTTGACCTGCACGTTTGGTGACCATCTTGGCGGTTGAGATGTCATCAGAGATAGCTGTTACATTAACTTTGTTGTCCATACTGCAATGTCAGCCTCAGCCTGAGCTTCTAACTCTGTCTCTATTACAGTGGGGTCTCGACTTACGAACGGCTCGACATACGAACGTTTCGACTTACGAACCGCTCTCATAGGACTATATGGACTCGACTTACGAACTTAGATTCGAGTTACGAACTTTTTCCCCCCTTTTTTGTAAAGCTAAGTCATCTTAGGTTAAAAGAAAAAAAGAAAAAATATCCCCCTCTAGTGGCAGAAGGCAGAATAGCAGCTTCCCATTAGTTTCTATGGACGAAAAGAGCAGATACGGATTAAATGGCTTTCAATGCATTCCTATGGGAAATGCAGATTCGACTTAAGAACTTTTCGACCTGAGAACTGCCTTCCAATATGGATTAAGTTCGTAAGTCGAGACCCCACTGTACTCCACTCAATGGTGTCTGTGTCAGAAAGCACTCTAATGAACGTTTCAATACCATCTTCTGATTAAGTACTGTAGTTTATATGTGGTTTTTCTTTGAGCAGAAAGTCAAAGATAGCACCTCCTGTGCAAGGACAGTGTGTGGCTACTCCCAGATGCTCTGGAATATTAATCAACAGTATTCATGCTCTCACCAAGATTATCCCTATGCTCAGAAGCATCAGGACTCTAGCTGTTTTCAGTGGGAATATGCCAGACCAAAAAAACACTTCAGTATTAGAGATATCTGAGGTCTCTTCCTACGGAGACTTAAACACTGATTTCTGAGGCACTGTTGCATACCAATGCATCATGATTGGCCCATACCAAGATGCAAGGTTCACTAAGTGGATGGTGGTGAAAAGGATGTGTTTGGCATATGAATTTGATAATCTGGCCACAGTAGTCCATGCCCTGATAATTTCCCAGATAGACTGTTACAATGTGATCTTTGTGGGGCTACCCTTGAAAATGACATGGATGCTGCAGAAAAAAGAATGCAGTGTTCAGGTTGTTAACTGAGCTGATGCCCTCTAGAGTGGGGCATCCAGTTCCTGTGGCAGTGAACATGATGAGTAAGTCACCATCACAGTTGTGGCTGTGAACTAGACTCATGAAACATTCGTTGCATTTGTATTAAATCAGTACATGGTGTACAGATTAAAGGGTTGGGGATATTTATGTCTACTCATGTGAGAGAAGTAGATTTACGTTTATATTCTTATATTCTGAAGTTCTTTGCAATGATAATTAAGTTCCAGCTTTTCAAAAGATGAATGGCATGTGTTTTTCATTCATTGTGGTCTCTGCTTGGATTACTATTCAGAATAGTCACCTTGCTTACAACATTCCGCTTGAAGTCCACTTAGATGAAGGACTAATGCTAAATCTGGTCTCAATTTTTCAGGATGAGTTAATCTTTTTAATGAGCCTTCCCCCCCACCCGCAAATGTCTACATGGTAGCAATAACCCAGACTGACATTTTTACCCTCTGGCCAGGAAATTATGCATGTTCTCTTTTCCAGACTGAACCAACTTAAATTGAGCCAACTTGCTCAGAAGGTTTTGTTGCAGAAATTGGTGTTTTTCACTTTTTGGTTTTTTTTTTTTTATCATATTCTGAGTGCTGATATATTAGCTGCCGCTGTAGAGCTTAACCTGTTTCATTTCATAACAACCACTGTTAAGACTTTGTCCATAGCAAACTTCCTTGCAATAGGTACTGGAACTTGTCTGTGATGTAGCAGTGATCCTTCTAGAAATGGTACACACCTTAGACAAGGTCAGGAGGCCAGTTTTGCCCTCCACTAGACTTTGAAGGGTGACACTCCTCTCCCCATAACACCACCTAAAAGACCTTGAAAGATTCTTGTTCTTAAAATGCTCGTGGTATCCCCCAAAAGGTTTTTCCAGAGCATGCTTTGTACTGTGTTTCAAATCTGATCCTCTCTAGGACATGTTAAGGTCTTTTTAGAAGCAGCAGCCAAAATCTTCTTACATAGTTATGCAAATAGTGTAACTTTGGGGGCAATTTGTTCCAAATTAATAAAGCACCATGGCCATTATCAGCTGCATGCTGAGTCATTCAGCTCACTATGCAATGATTAATGTCTACAGTGATTTCGTAAGGTAAGGCAATTAGCCTCCCAAAGTTATTCAATTTTTGTTGCACCATCATAAATAGATAAGAGAATTTGGGGCAGCAAGTGATTGGTTGGTAACTTCAGTTTAAAGAAAAAGCCTTTTAAGGTCTAAAACAACACCAGTGGGAATTGGGTGTACAGTGTACACCGCAACCTGAGGCCTCTGGAAGAGTGTATGTTTGCGGCAAAAACACCTTTTTGCTGGAAAAGGCCTGGGGAGCTTGTGAAAGTACATGCTTTCCACCTGTGTTCTAGAGTATAATGTGAACCAACTGTGTTCAAGTAATCTTGCACTCAACTGACCTAAAAGCCTGCCTGCATCCATTCTATCCTGCTTTATTATCAGCCACTGTGTCCTTGCTGTTTGGCTGATCTATGATATTAGGCTTATACAAGAGAAAAGTCCTTTTTTTATATAGTGACCTTCACTTGTGGAAATCTCTCAGGGTAAATGAGAGATGACAGGCTCATCTTTGAGAATTTTTGAAAAATAAGATGTACATTAGCATGTATTTCAAAAATGCTATGTCTTAATCTTTGTAACATTCAATTAATTTTTCTTGTTTTATTTGTTTTATTTGTTTTTTAGTGATGGGAAAGTAGAGTAATAACTAGATTATTTGTAGAGGAGCCTGATCATTATTGATTGATTGATTTACTTACTTACTTTATTTATTTCATTTAATTTCATTTATACCCCACCCATTTAACCAACGTCTACTTTGGGCAGCTAACAATAAAAATAGGCTAAAAGCAATCTAATATATCAAACAACAATTTAACAACAATAACAATATCATTCAGGATGGAAAAATAGAAATCAAGTGGTAACAGGAGGGAAGGCCTGCCGAAAGAGCCAGATCTTGAGTTGGCTCTTAAAAACATCATTGGATCATATACTTCATTTTGCCTTCATGTTTTCATTCTTACTTTTTCTCTATCTCTGGAAAGCAGACAGAATTTAAGTGTTGTGGTAGAATCATGTATTCCATACTTACATTATACCTTAGTAGCTCTTTATAATTATTTGCTTAGAATTTCAAGTGTCAGATGTGTCCATTTGCTTGAATAGTTTCATTCTAAATATTCTTTTCAGCTTTTTTGACAAAAAAGATAACTAATATTGTGACTTCCTTACTTTTATTCTCATGTTTTGTCAGGTTACTTCCAGTTTACAACCACTCTAATAGAGTTTCTGAAGTATATGAGATGTTCAAGGAGAGGTTTTCACTGTTGTTGAGTTGTGAACCTCAAGTTTCTGTTTTAGGACACATTTAAACAGTTTTCTCTAATAAAACAAGTAAAATCAGTTATTTTTAGATGTGTGTGGCTTATATATATTGATTTGATTTTACTGGTCTTTGACCATAATAAAGTATACTACTGCTGCTGCTGCTGCTGCTGCTGCTACTACTACTACTGCTACTACATAGATGTTCTTAGGGTACAGGGAGAATGTTTTAACCAGTGATAAGTACTTTGCCTACCCAGAATAAATGTTGCTTTATTAGTTCTTTGTGTTTGTAGTAATAAATACTGCTGCCAGTTCCATATTTGTTGTCAATATATGATTGCTTTCTTGAATGTGTCTGCAGAACAGTCCACCTTCTGAAACATATCTGGAAGAATGTATAATGTCAGGTGATTTAAGTAAGAAGAGCAAAAACCTAATAACTAATTTTAAACTTCGTTTTGCAAACTTGCAGTGCACTCGTCAGATAATCTCTGAGAAGCTGGGCCGAGGCTCACGAACAGTAGATCTAGAGTTGGAAGCACAAATAGAAATTCTGAGGGATAACAAAAAGAAGTATGAAAACATCCTGAGACTGGCACAAACCTTGTCAACTCAGCTTTTCCAGATGATGAATACTCAAAGGCAACTTGGAGATGCATTTGCAGACTTAAGTTTGAAATCATTAGAACTTCATGTAAGATTTTCATTACACTAGAAAAATGGTTATGCTTATACTATGCTGGAAACACCTAAAAGTAGGTTTCATCTTAATGTTAATATGGTTGGCTAATGAATGGTGGAATAAAAGAAAGAAAGAAATATCCGATTTCTGCCAGTTTGAGTATCTGTAATAAGCTCATACATATGTTTATTCATTCATCTTATATACCACCCAGTAGTGTGATACACAGTCTGTGAGTTAATAATGATGTTCTTTATAATATGCTCCAGTATTTGAAGTCAGATGGTGATTCTATGTATATTATATCTGAAAAACATACAATTGCATTATACTGAAAATGATACTATTTGTGGTTTGTTCAAAGTACTGTATGTTAAATAGCACTTCAGTGATAGAAACTGACTGAATATGATCACTCATTTATTTATCTGCACTTTTTATGGCTGATCTTTGAAATCTCTCAACTGCTCCAATAGTTCCAGTATTTTTTGGTGGTAGCAGAAAACAAAGCACTGAAAAATACCACTGTATTTCCATTCTATTCTCAGGAGGAGTTTGGATACAATGCAGAGACACAGAAACTTCTGGCTAAAAATGGTGAAACTCTTCTTGGGGCAATTAATTTTTTTATTGCTAGTGTGAATACCTTGGTGAATAAAACTATTGAGGATACATTACTTACCGTGAAGCAATATGAAAGTGCCAGGTAATGCATTATTTAATATTATCTTTCATCATTTATAAATACATAACTTAGAGAAATAAACTAGTCCTTAGTGAAATGTTGAATTCAGATTGCAGTAAATCATATGCATTGCTTCAAGTGCATTCATAATTGAACCAGACTAATTGAAAACAATTAAGTCTCAGAGATTCTGTTCTTAAGTTCTGCTGACTAAACTTTGAGCCAACCAATTGTGCTTAGAAATGTATTTCAGTCTCTATTTATAAAAGCTGTACTCCCCAGAGTGCATTTATATAAGGGAATCATGTTATGCAACCACAGTTCTTTTCATGGCTTTCTCCGCAGCAGGTCTTTTGCCACTGTTGAATTGTAGTCTGCTGTAGGTTGAAATATGATTTGCCCCTGAAGGTGGAAAACAGATGATGCAAAGTGTTCTGCCAATATAATCTGTTCCCATCCTTCAATGTAAATGATTTCTGGAAAATGATAGCTTTTTACACTGTCATGAGTATGGGACTGAACATTTTGGTCTGAAACCAGTTGATAGTTGTAATAGAGCTGACCCACTGAATGGATGGGACTTGTAAAGTTAAAACCTAAGTCATATTGAATCAGTGAGCTTGCTATACAGTGGTACCTCGTAAGACGACGACCCCGCTAAACGGCGAATCTGCATAACAATGACTTTTTGTGATCGCTATAGCGATTCGCAAAACAGTCATTCCAATGGGGGATTTTCACTGGACGTCGATTAGGTCCGTGCTTCGCAAACCATTTGTTCGCAAGACGACGATTTTTACAGCTAACCGTCGGCTTCGCAAAATGGCTGCCCTGTGTTTTCCGGACCCGTGCTTCGCAGGACAGCCATTTTTACAGCTGATCAGTGCTCGCAAAATGGCTTCCCTATGGGCGATCTTTGCTGGTCAACGAGGTATTTTCCCCATTGGAACACATTAAACTGGGTTTCAGTGCATTCCAATGGGGAAACCGATTTCGCATGACGATTTCACTAAACAGCAATTTCAATGGTATGGATTATCGTCGTCATGCGGGGCACCACTGTATTTGGAACTAATAATTGGGAAAACCTTGTGGTGCGGTTGTTAATCTGCAGTACTGCAACCAAAACTCTGCTTATGCACCAGGTTTAATCCCAGGTAGCCTAGTCAAGGTTGACTTCTGAGGTGAGTAACATGAGTGTCCAGCTTGCAGGGGGGGGAATGTGTAGCCTACAAAATTAAATTGTAAACTGCCCAGAGAATGCTTTAAGTGCTGTAGGGCAGTATGTAAGCTGCATACTTTGCTTTTATATGTTTACAAGATGTTATTAGAAAGAATAACAGTTTTCATATTATGTCCTTTAATATTTTCGTTAGAATAGATCTAGTGTTGCCCATTTCTTTGAAAGCTGAATTGCTATGTAAAATTGGATTATTTATATCTTACTATGATGTTGTCAGCATGAAAACTCAGATATTCGAGTTTGAGGGAGAAAGTAGAGATCAGTCATTTTTACTGGTGATATGAATATAGAATGAAATAGGGAAGATCCAGTAATGTAATGCTGTCTGAATAACGCATGATTCTTAACTGCATGATTATGTCAATTCAACTGGTATATGCAAATTGATGTGTCTCTACATTAAATTATAAAAACTGGAGGATAGAATCAAAGTATTAAGTGGGACTAATATATTGACTTTATAGGTTGCTCTGCAGATTTGTGCAGGGATGCTAACTCTTTCTTGTTCTCAGGATTGAGTATGATGCTTATCGCACAGATCTAGAAGAACTGAATCTTGGCCCAAGAGATGCAAATACCTTGCCAAAGATTGAGCACTCACAGCAACTCTTCCAACTGTATAAAGAGAAGTATGACAAAATGCGCAATGATGTATCAGTTAAATTGAAGTTTTTGGAGGAAAACAAGGTAAGAAGCTAATTCCTGGTGTAACTTTTTATTAGGTAATCAAAACTTGAGATACAGTTATTTGTGTGACTTTATTTAATATGTAGAATACCAAGCAGTCAGTATTTCAGTCTTGGGGGACAGGGGAAAGCTACATAGTTTTCAAAGCTACCAAGTACTGTAGATTTAAATAAGCAGTGAAATGACCAGGTTATATAAGGTTATAAGCCGACTAGAGTGGTCTTAACCAACCAGATAGGTCAAAACTTGAGATACAGTTATTTGTGTGACTTTATTTAATATGTAGAATACCAAGCAGTCAGTATTTCAGTCTTGGGGGACAGGGGAAAGCTACATAGTTTTCAAAGCTACCAAGTACTGTAGATTTAAATAAGCAGTGAAATGACCAGGTTATATAAGGTTATAAGCCGACTAGAGTGGTCTTAACCAACCAGATAGGCGGGATATAGAACAAACCTTTTCAGCTCAGTGAGACTAATAGTAACTATGGCTGAACTAAGACTCCTTGATTTCATTGGAATTACTTTAATCTTGACCAAGTCTGGATCTGAACCACTTTATTCCTTTTAAAATAAACTGAATTTTAACCTCCATCTGCAATGCAAAAAACCTTTCAAACTACTTTAACAGTATTCTTCAAATATTGGGATGTATTGATAATGTACAGTGGTGCCTCGCATAACGAGTGCCCCGTTTAACGCCGAATCCGCATAGCAATTCGTTTTTTGCAATCGCATTGCGATGTTTCCTATGGGAAAAAATCGCTTTGCAATTTTTCCCCATAGGCCCTTGGCGGGTGCATCGGAACAACCACAGGCGAGGTCTCTGGGCTGAGTTCAGCCGGCACGAGGAGGACCCAGCGTTGCTTGCAAGGAGGGAGACGATTTGTCCCTGGCCGCCAGCTTGCTTCTCCTGGGGGTCCTCGCCGCCGCGATCGGTGCCTTCAGAGGTTTCAAAGGGCTTTCCCTGACATTGGAGGAAGCCCTTTGAAAGCTCCAAAGGCAACGGAGCGCCGGGCGGCTAGAGCAGGCCGGGGCCCTGGCCGCTCGTCCCCGGCCGCACGGAGCCAGCATAGCACCGGGAGGCTTCGGACTGGTAAGTCCTGTTTTTTTAAATTTTCGGTGTGGGTTTTGGAGGGTGGGGATTATGTTTGTGGTTTGTTTCGGAAGCAGCGGAGGGCCGAGAGGCTAAAGCAGGCCGGGCCCCTGGCTGCTCGCCCCCAGCCACGCGGAGCCAGCAGAGCGTTGGGAGGCTTCGGACCGGTAAGTCCTTTTTTAAAAAAAATTCTGTGTTGGTTTTGGAGGGTGGGTTTGGGCTGGTGGGTTATGTTTGTGGTTTGTGTGTGTGTGTGTGTGTGTTTTTTCCCACGGCATTTTCGCCACGAGCGCTTCGACTGTGTGAAAATGGGGGCTTTGGTCCTCCCAAAGGCCCCATTTTCACACAGCTGATCGGCGGTTCCAAAATGGCCGTCACAACCATTTTTGCTGCCCTCGCTTACCGAGGCGGTGAAAATGGCGTCCGGATGGAGGATTCCCGCTTAGCGGTAAGTTTTCCCCCTATAGGAACGCATTAAACGAACGGATTAACGTCGCTATGCAGGGCACCACTGTACTTTACTATTCATAAGGGTCCTTTGAACCCCTCAAAATAAAATAAGGGCTCATAATGGAAGGCAAAAGTTCACATTTGGGAAAGGATTGAAATGGAACACACTGTAACACTGCCTGCAAGTAATTGTGGCTGCAGAGCTAGAAATGAGAGCAAACAGTTTGGTCTTGTACACTAGCAAATGTTAACCATTGCTGTTAACAATGGTGATTACTTGTGTACTGTGTGGCACACAATTTCTTTACCTGTGTATACTAATAACTAAATGACAGTTCCTCCCAAACCCCTCCATTAAGTTTGGGATTACCATTTAGACAAGTGAACAGGGAATTCTTCTCTTGGATTCTCCTCTCACTAACTCAAGCAAATAGCCAGTTTTTAATTTTATGCTGCTGTTTTTACCTACCGTAGCTAACAGCTGATTTCACTGCTTTCTTAAAAGTACAAATGTTTTTAGTGAAGCACATATTTATTTATTTTGGTGACAGTACCTAAGCCATGCAGGGTAGCACTGAATAGTGGTATGTACGAATATAATGTCTTAGGAGCTATATCTACAACATAATAAGCAGGGTCTGAAAACAATTTTTTTTTTAAAACAATACAAAATAAATAACATGTTCTTTACTTTTTAATTTTGAACAAGTCCTGTTCCTTTTATAGATACGTAGATAACTTGCTTTGACACATGTACTAAGACCACATTTTTATTTACTTCCTCACAAAAAGAGCACACTTATAACTTCCAAACTCTGACAGCATTCACTCTCACACACCACTTTATAGACAAAACAGGATCTCCTCAGCCAGAAACCATGCAGCTCACAGTTGCAGTCATAACAATTCTATAACATTTTTCACCTGTTTTAACTGTTACTCCAGACACACATCTCTCATAACAACTGTCAGTCAACCCCAGTCTCTTACCATGCAAATCGATACAAACGTACACAAAATATATACAAACTATCCACATATTGTAAAACATTGAGGCATAAATGTGGTTTGTAGACTCTAGAATAGTTAGTATGTTAAGCAACGTATCCTCTAATTTTCAGCCCCACTGGGTAGGGCTCCGCATCTCGCATGCGTGACTCCACCCCTGCATGCACATGCAACTCCGCCCCCGTGCACACTGGGTTCCATCACAACCAGAACCTAATGCGATCACTCTGCGGAAGAGGAAGACAGCTGCACTAAGGGAAGCAAATTTGTGCACACACAGCTTAGCGGAACCTTGGTGTTAAGTGAAATAAGAACAAAATTAATGTAGTTCTATGACCTTCAGTAAATGCTGCCATATTCATATCCTTCCCATCAACAATCTTGTTTTGAGTCCTTTGAGTTTCATTTAGCATACAATTTCATTTTCCTCTTAAAGCCTGAGATTTCATTTTACTTTGAAAACATACTTGTCTTGCTGTAATTTTTGGGGAAACAGGCCAAACAAAATTGAAATTTTACCTTTCCAGCATTAAAGTATACTAAAAAGTGAAAGCCAGCAATTTAGAGTCATTGATGTTTCTTGATCAAATATGGTATTTTCTGTTTTTAAAAATGTGGCAGATAACAACCCTATTCATTTCATTGTTTTTTTTAAAGAAGGAAAATACAGTGGTGCCTTGCAAGACGATTGCCTCGCGGGACGATTAATCCATAAGATGATTAGTTTTTGCAGTCGCTGTTGTGCTTCGCAAGACAATGGTTTCCTACAGATGATTTTCGCAAGACAACGATTTTCCCCATTGGAACACATCAAATAAATTTCAGTGCATTCCAATGGAGAATCGCGTTTCACAAGACGATGTTTTCTTTGGACGATTTTCGCAAGATGATGATTTTCCCATTGGAACGCATTAAATAGATTTCAGTGCATTCCAGTGGGGAACTGCGTTTCGCAAGACAATTTTTCGTAAGATAGCGTTTTTCACAGAACAAATTAACATCATCTTGCGAGGCACAACTGTATGTTGGATGTTATTAGAATTGGCATACAAATAACTGATTCTTTTTTTTTCAGTGTATCAGGCAAGGGAATTGGGTTGGGTTTAACAATGGAGGGGAGGAGAAATAATACAGAATGTGCATGGAAAAACAAAATGGTGTGTAGTTCTCCAGATGTTATTGGATTGCCAATCTCAGCATTTATTGATATTGAAAATGCTGACTAGGGATTATGAGAGTTCCAACCCATTAACATCTGGAAAGCCACGTTTTGCACACCACTGTATTAAATCAAAGTGAACCCATGACTGTTGAGCGCTACAGTTCAAGGAAAATCTCAAAGGGACCATTACTTTACATTGCTGTTCAGCAGCTTTAAGACAGTGGTTACCAACCATTTTTGAGTTGCAGCCCTCTTTTATAATAGCCAAGTAACCTGCAACACCCCCTTCTGTTCACTACCATTTACACTTCTGGAAAAACAGCTCTGACAATTGCTTTGTGTTTAAGTAAGAAGTGTTTAACAGATGAGAAAATGAGTCAGCTTCTGAGATTTTTCCTTGTGTGACATCATTTGTGAATGGTAGTGAGCAGAAGAGGTTATCCTGTAGACCAGCAGTACCCAACCTTTTTGGTACTGCGGACTGGTTGGGGGGAGCTCCATGCACAGGGGCAGGGACACCCCATGCTCGCACAGGGGGCGTCACGCTCATGTGCATGCACGCTAACACTACGCCCCCTGTGCAAGCACAACACGCCCACTGGGGGCTGGAGATTTGTCTCCGTGGCCCAGTTCCGAGAAGCCCATAAACTGGCACCGGACTGTCAACTAGAGGTCAAGGACCCCTGCTGTAGACAATCTTGGCTGCTGCCATCGGTGTTGTTAACATTCAGGCTACCCTTTGCTATGTAAAACTTGGTAACCTTTTTTCCTGTTGACATCATGGGCACGATATTGTGCAGCAATATTGGGGCATTTCCTGGCTTTTATAGTCATGGGTGCAGAAGCACAATATCCCACATTCATAAAGGAGGGTTTTTAAAAAGAATTGATAATATCAACAGTCTAGGTGAAAATGAACAAACTCTGATTCTGCTCAGACAAAGCATACGATTTGGTTGATAGTTCATCCACTAATGAATGGTCTTCAGAATGGGATCATGCTCCTCTTTAAGGCATCAGGCTCATGGTCTAAGACAGTGATGGCGAACCTATGGCACACGTGCCACAGCTGGCACGCGGAGCCCTTTCTGCCGGCACGCGACCATAGGTTGCCAGATCACAACTCCCCCCCACTCCCCACAGCCAAACTGTTCTAAACCATAGGTTGCCAGATCACAACTCCCTCCCCCCACTCCCCACAGCCAAACTGTTCTATACACATAAAAGTGGCATGGGCATGCAGGACATGCCTTTGGCGTGCTTTCGGATTCCCTCCCCCCCGCCT